GAACCATGGTGTCAGAAGTCAGAAAAATGGTTATCTCTGGAAGAAGTAAAGAGTAATATTTAGAGGGTACCAAAAATGCTTCTAGAATACTGACATGTTCCATTTCTTATTCCAAGTGGTATTTACAAGTATGTTTTACTGGTTTTACCATGCTGTAAATTATAATTTGTGAAATTTCCTTCATATATATTATACTTAAATAAATTTTTTTAAAAAAACTTAATGAGAAATAAAAACTGGAAAGGGAAGAAAGCATGATTCCATTAATGAGCATGGATAGCTTATACACTGACAAGAAAGGACAAAGAAAATCTAAAAACAAATATGTTGATGAACTCAAAAGGAATATTAACATGAAGCTTATTTAGTGTAAGAGAAGAACAATCTTAACCATTAATAAGCTTAAACCTATCATTACATTGCAGTGTATTGGGAATTAATTTTAATATAGCTTGTCATAGCTCAGTCATTTCCAGAAATACCTCATAGCAGAAAAAGCTAATTGCAGTCCTTAAAATATTCTTCCTATATACACAAGATTTGCAGGTCCAGGGAAATCTAGACACATGGTCTCTGCTGCAAAATAGTAGGATTATGTGTCAATATCCTGTACAATGAAATATGAACAGAAATCATGTCTACAACATCTGGATCATGCCCAGGGAGTGGGTGCTCCCCTGTGTCTTCTCTATGGCATGACCACAGGGGCTAGAGCTGCCATATTTCAACTGAGAGACGAAGCCATGAGCTAAGGACGGAGGAGACACCCAAACTGCCTTGTATTGGCACAGCTCCAGATTGTTAAATGAAAGAAATAATTTTTTTAATGCCATTTTTAGGTTGGATTTTTGTGTCTGAGCCAGATGGCCCATACAGCAATGCTATCATTTTAAGATTTAGCTTTCCTTAGTAGGCTACTGGTTAAAAAGAAAACAAAAATCACAGCCAGAACAGACATTTTAAAGACAATTAGGTGAATCTGAATACAGAGTGAATATTAGACATTGAGTCATTGCTCTTTTCTTAGGTGTGTTAATTGTGTTGTGGTTACATTTGTTATTCTTAGATTCATACTGAGATCTTACTCTCTAATGGTCTGGTGATGTAGGCATATGTGATAGATGTAAGATAATGTGGCCAGGCACGGTGGCTCACACTTGTAACCCCAGCACTTTGGGAGGCTGAGGTGGGTGCATCACCTAAGGTCAGGAGTTAGAGACCAGCCTCGCCAACATGGTGAAACTCCATCTCTATTAAAAATACAAAATTAGCCAGATGTGGTGGCGCCTGCCTGTAATCCCAGCTACTCAAGAGACCGAGGCACAAGAATTTCTTGAACCCAGGATGTGGAGGTTGTAGTGAGCCAAGATCACACCATTGCACTCCTGAGCAACAACAGCCAAACTCTGTCTCAAATAAATAAATAAATAAGATAATGCAAATATGGCAAAAATATTAATGATTGAATCTGGGTGATAGGTATACAAATTTGGTTGTATTATTCATTGACATTTTCTTTACGTTTGAATTTTTCACAATAAAAATTTGAAATAGTAAAATAAACAAGACAGGTATTTTTGATAGAATGTAGAAAGTACCAGGTGCTGTTAGAACACAAAAGCTAGGCCCTGAGTACAGCACAAAGGAGTCACCAGAATGAAGGTTAACAGCCCTTTAACACAGCAGATAGATTTGCATTGTGTTGCCATTATTCATTCTATACCTAGAGAGAACGTGCTTTCTTCTTGCTCAGATTAGCTTGCAGATTGTCAACAACTTTGTCAGTCTTCTTCTGTAATTCAGCTTAAATGACAGAAACTAGTCTGAAGATAGTATTTTGCATTGTTTTGAGTTGATATTGTGAGCATCTTCGGTTTAACACACTTCATTTTCTCGTGGTTGAATGTACTTTGCCTGTCTTTTGCAATCCATCTCTTACACTGCAGTGGAATTTGTCTTAATTGTGGACTCTGCACCTGCTACTGTCTTCTATGCAAATGTTATTATAGTAATAATAATGATGATGTTTCTTTGTTTCTGAGTGTGGCAAAGCCACTATGAAAAACCAACTGCTAGAAAATAAAGGAAAGCAGACATAGACAATCTTATGCAGGAATGAAACACTTAAAGTCTCATCAATGTGAGCTCCATATTAAGATCACATCTATGGAATTTTACTTAAGCTGGACTGTGGGCTCATTATAATTCAATAGATCTGACTTATCTGCCTTAGGATCAAACCATCTTTTTTTTTATTGCATTTTAGGTTTTGGGGTACATGTGAAGAACATGCAAGATTGTTGCATAGGTACACACATGGCAGTGTGATTTGCTGCCTTCCTCCCCTTCACCTATATCTGGCATTTCTCCCCATGCTATCTCTCCCCATGTCCCCACCCCCCTGTCCCTCCCCCATTTCCCCCCAACAGACCCCAGTGTGTACTGCTGCCCTCCCTGTGTCCATGTGTTCTCATTGTTCAACACCTGCCTATGAGTAAGGACATGCAGTGTTTGATTTTCTGCTCTTGTGTCAGTTTACTAAGAACGATGGTTTCCAGGTTCATCCATGTCCCTACAAAGGGCATGAACTCATCATTTTTGATGGCTGAATAATATTCCATGGTGTATGTGTACCACATTTTCCCTGTCCAGTCTGTCGTCGATGGGCATTTGGGTTGGTTCCAGGTCCTTGCTATTGTAAACAGTGCTGCAATGAACATTCGTGTGCATGTGTCCTTATAGTAGAATGATTTATAATTCTTTGGATATATACCGGATATATACCCAGTAATGGGATTACTGGGTCAAATGGAATTTCTATTTCTAGGTCCTTAAGGAATCGCCACACTGCCTTCCACAATGGTTGAACTAATTTACACTCCCACCAATAGTGTAAACGTGTTCCTATTTCTCTACATCCTCTCCAGCATCTGTTGTCTCTAGATTTATTAATGATCGTCATTCTAACTGGCATGAGGTGGTATCACAATGTGGTTTTGATTTGCATTTCTCTGATGACCAGTGATGATGAGCATTTTTTCATATATTTGTGGCCTCATGTATGTCTTCTTTTGTAAAGTGTCTGTTTATATCCTTTGCCCACTTTTGAATGGGCTTGTTTGTTTTTTTTTTGTTATAGATCTGTTTTAGTTCTTTGTAAATTTTGGATATCAGCCCTTTGTCAGATGGGTAGACTGCAAAATTTTTTTCCCATTCTGTTGGTTGCCGATTCACTCTAATGACCATTTCTTTTGCTGTGCAGAAGCTGTGGAGTTTGATTAGGTCCCGTATGTCTATTTTGGCTTTTGTTGCCAGTGCTTTTGGTGTTTTGGTCATGAAGTCCTTGCCTACACCTATGTCCTGAATGGTTTTGCCTAGATTTTCTTCTAGGGTTTTTATGGTATTAGGTCTTATGTTTAAGTCTTTAATCCATCTGGAGTTAATTTTAGTGTAAGGCATCAGGAAGGGGTCCAGTTTCAGCTTTCTGCACGTGGCTAGCCAGTTTTCCCAACACCATTTATTAAACCATTTATTTCAAAACATTTCAATATTACAAAACAAAATGTTTTAGATTGCCCTTTAGTTATGAAAGGTTGTAACTTTCTTTACAGAAATAGATGTCCATTTCTTCACACAAGTAAAAATATTTGATTTCGGGAATTCAGGGGATTTAGCTTAAAGTTACTAGGTGCTAGATGCTTGAGGCTCAAAAAAAAAAAGAACACCAAAATTGCCATTACCCACTGACATGGAAACAGACAGACACCACTACTACTGATAGTTCTGTCATTCTGTTTCAAAAACTTACAGATGGGAATTCATTCTCAGTGAATCTGTAAGGATATACATAAAATAATTACAAAGTCTGTTTTGTGCCAACAAATTGCTCTAGATGAGCTAGATTTTTCTTACGTCTAAGCCACTGCTTATAGCAAGGAAAATATCTTAGAAGGCTATTTATATTCTAGGTGCATAGCTTACCGTTCAGTAAGTTTATGCTGTAATGTGCCAAACAGCATCCTGATTCTTTAGACTCAGAATCCTATTTGTGGCTAAGAAAATCACTGTGATAACCAGAAACACTCTGCATTTTTGTTAATCTTCCTTGCAGATCATATTTCACTTCCAGCTTTGGATATTGTTTCTTTGTAATAAAATACCAGCAATTTAACTTGATAATTCTTCTGAGGTTGCATAGAAAAAGAAAGGCTTAGGTATGACTGAAGAGCTTTTCTTGTTTGTTTTTTTTTTTTCTCCCAGAGGAGCTCATTATTGCCTATGCCTAGGATATTATTTTGTTTTCTTGCCTTTTGTTTTACAGGAATAAAAATAACATCTCATCTTTGGTCTAGGAGTATTTTGTACTTGGGATCATTCAATTCTGCAATATTTCAATTCGATACACTTGCTTCATACATGGAAATTATATTTAAACAAAGTGACTTTCAATTCCAGCTTAAGTAGATGAGAGTGAGGAAGGCCACCGTATCTGTCACCTCGTTCATCACTAGGCTGAAGGTGACTGACATAGTAGGCGAGGCATCATCCCCTTCTGTCCACATTCCTTCTGACGCAGCCAGTTGCTGGAATTCCCTCCCCTAGCTACTTTGTCATTATGGCAGTTCTATGTATAGAAAGCATTTGAGGAATTTTACAGGCTGGTAAAATTATTCTGCAAACCTCCTTTTTAAAAAATATATCTTCCAGATGGATATTTTTTGTCTCAAAATTTTGACTAATTATGTCTTGAAATATATGCTTCCTTTTAAAATGATTCATTGGAAACTTGGACTTAATAAGAATCAAATAATCCTTTTCAGGTGGTTTTTAAACCACTTGGTTCAAGTATCCACTAAATACTATCCTGAAGCCACAGATTTCTTCTTCAAGTGAAAGAAAATGCTTTTGTTGTTATCTTATTCCAAGATTTGTTTTAACATGAAAAATCAATACTTAGAATACTGGACTGAACTCCTTTTTTTTTTTTTTTTAAATTTCAGGAACTAAGAAAAAGAAGACACCTGAGTCACAAAAGCAATAGGCAGTCAACTCAACCTTTAAAGGTAAGTAACAGTATTGCAAATTTGCTTTCTCCACAGAAAAATAATACAACTAAAGTAATCGGCAGATATGTCTTTGAAAGTCATCAGTACATGGGTTGTCCTTATATATTCCACAGTCACTAATTTTCTGTTAAATATTTATGTTGCCTTTAGAGCCATCAGTTTTTGTTTTCATATTGAATGATAAGCTTTCAAAGAATGGGAAATTGGAAATGTCACATCCTTACTTTTTGCCCCATAGCCACAATTTATCCTTGTTGATGGATAAGTAATGAGCCCTTGCACTCCAGAGTCACTTCACTTCAAACACTTAAAAAAAAAAACAAAAAAACAAAAAAAAAAACCTCTGCAACTACATCAGTACATTTTAATTCCTATGAGCAAGAGAGTATTAATTACATCACGGAAATCATTCTGGCTAAGGAGACTGCAGTTGTTCTCACTTTCTAAATGATATTGTATCATTCAACAAGTCAATGCCTATGTTGCCTCATCTCTTTTTCATTATGATATCAACTAAGTAATTGAGGAATATCTCAACAAAGGTGGTTTTCTGTCTTTTAAGTGATCAAGTTTAAATGTTTTCCTAAAAAGCTAATGACAAGGTAGTATTTTGATAAAGATTCCTTTCGGTTGGTGTCTTTCTCTAGTTCACGACTGGTCTATTTATGTGTTTCCTTGTTCTTTTTTCTGCCATTTATGTTTTCTTCTTCTTTTCATTCCTTAAGATGAAAACTACAACCATCTGAACCCTAACTTGTTGGTATTCTGGATTCTGCTGGCAGAAATGACTTAATTTTACTACCCCATACAGCCTGCTGGCTCTCAGGGTTTCTCTAGTTTCCCTCATTTATGCACCAGCCTTTCAGATTCTGTCTGATTACTCAGCTGTCCAGTTTCTTTCAGCCTGTCTCTCCTTAAATTTTCCCTAATTGTCATCTTCTATTTTTCTGAAAGTCAACTACTCTTTGACAAGCCCACTCTCTTCATTCCTATAGCATCATATCCTTGAGCTGCCAGCTTCCTAAAAATGTGATAGCTACAACTTCCCTATCAAAGCCTCCTTCGCAGACACTCATAGGATACTGGGACTGAAAAGGGACTTATCTAACCATTTTCCTTTAGGGTAAAAGAAACTGAAATCTGAAGAGGTGAATTACTAAAATTAAGCAGTAATTAACCACAAAACCAGAACTAATCCCAAGATATTTTAAAGGCTAAGAATTATATTACGGGGGCCAATAATTCAGACTTGGCTCCTAGTGATATACTTCTTGCTCCCAGAGATCCTGAGTTATGTCTACATGGTGATCGAGTTCCTTCAGTTGCCATAAGCTTTAGTAGTGTGCAACTGAAATGCAAAGAATGAGGTCTGAAATCTGCCCAGGCATTTAGCAACAGCACTTTCATAATTTGATTATGCTTCACTCTCTGTAGCTAGAGAGAATTCTACTGAATTTGCAGATGAGTTGGAAAGAGGAAATTTTATTAAACACACAAAAAAAGGAATTGATTGCTTTGGTTGGAAAGAATGTTCGAATCATCCCATTGGATATTAAATAACATAATTGGCAGAGGTTTTTAGCCTTGGTTGATCTTCCTCAGTTATTTTGCTTAGCTACCATGGTAAAAGACTTGTTCATAGATCCTCTCTGTGGCATATTATTTGGTAGCTTTGATTTTTTAAAAAAATTTACCACCCTGTTTTGAAAAGTTCTGGACCTCCTAAGATGCCTTCTGTTTTCTCAGAGCTCCCACCCTCATCCAGTGGTATCTTCAGGGTTGATCATCAATGTGTCCTTCACTGTGACCTTCTGAAGCTTACTGGGAGCAAAATTTTACTTATTCAGTTTAACTCTTCATGAGTGAATGACTTACCTATTGCAATCAGCTCCTGAGCCTGACTTGTCAGTTAGTGGAAAGTTGTTCAGAGATGCAGCCATTGTTTGTTTGGTTCTTGTTGGTATTCATGAGCATCCTTGGCAACTTGTAATGATGTACACTTGGATAGCATTTTGTGCCTTTATATTATGTCACTTGAACCTTTGAGGTAGGCATGGCTGATACTATCTCCAGATTATGGCTAAGGAATCTTTAGCTCAGAGAGATTAAGTGACTCACCCAAAGTCACTTAGTAAGTGGCAAAGTTAAGACTGGAATCTCCACCTGATGCCATTGCTCTTCCACACCACTCTGGTAATTAAGCTTTCAGGTTGTCTTTGTCTTTTTGCCCCTCTCAAATTTGTCTGAAAGAGACACCAGACATTTAGAAACAGGACCAGAAGAAACATTTTCATTCACAAAAGGAAGAGTGAGCTACCACTGTTCTATACTGCAAAAAAGATTTAGGTTCTACTTCCAAAACTGTTAATTTGACAGAATGCCAGTTACAGAGACAAATAAGCAAATGAAAGTTTGATCTCATGGCTGGGCACAGTGGCTAATGCCTGTAATTCCAGCACTTTGGGAGGCTGAGGCAGGCAGATCACTTGGGGTCAGGAGTTCAAGACCAGCATGGCCAGCATGGTGAAACCCTGTCTCTACTAAAAATACAAAACTTAGCCAGGCATGGTGGCACACACCTGTAGTCCCAGCTACTCAAAAGGCTGAGGCAGGAGAAATGCTTGGAGGCAGGAGAAACGCTTGAATCCAGGAGTGGAGGTTGCAGTGAGGTGAGATCTCACCACCACTGCATTCCAGCCTGGGCAACAGAGTAAGCCTCTATCTCGAGAAACCAACAAAACAAAAAAACCAAAGTTAAATCTCCAGTTTCTTTGACCGCTAATAACATTTCTATGCAACAACTGATTAAAAGCATGCAGTATGCTCAGAGTCAAGCTCTCAAATGCCCCCTTACTCAGTACCTTACAAAGAACATGTGGGCATTCTGTCGTGTGACTAATGAACAGTGTCTGTGGACAATGCTACAGAATGCCGCAGAAACAGAGCTTTTCACAAGTTAGAGAATTCTGGAAAGGCCAGGTAATTTTCCTATGTGGCTTCCACCTGTCATATGAACTTTCAGACTTGCTAGGAAACACTGAGGATTCTCGGAAAAAAAGTATAAAAATGTAAGAGCAGGGGAAGAAATGGGTCTTTTACAGATCACCGGCACTGTCCTCAAGAGTATGCAATTGCTTGGATCCATAGAAAGCACCAACATTGCAGATACAGCATAGAAACTAACAACCAGTAAACGCTCTTACACACACAAGGCATTCCTAATAAAAGTGCTGGTGATGGAGTCTTTCCATGAACTGAGCTATGTTTACGTATCTCTTACTATCCTCAGTGGTCTAAACTGGACATTCCAAACATGGGCTGTCCTTCTAGCCCTCCAAGGAGTGTTCCTTAGGACATAACAAGAAGTTTTTATAGCAGTTTCTCCTGGGACCACTTTTTGTGAGTGGGAAGTTGGTATGTAACAGCCCAGAGAGAGAGACTAGTATTTAATGCTCTTTAACGTGAAACCTGCCCTAAAGGAGTTTTGAAGGTCTAATAGTTACATTTTCTGACGTCAGTGTTTTCTGTCTATACTTTGTGACATATTCCTTCAATCTCTGTACTGATAATGTGTTTCTCCTCTCAGCCCCAAACTGATCTATCAATTTCCAAAATGTTTCAGTCAGTTGAAATTTCGTATTTTTTCCCACTACCTCCTTCTTTCAAAGAAGTACATGTGCCCTTCTTGTTAGTTATCCTTTTCTTGTTTTCCCAGCTTTACCTTTATGGTGTTATGGTCCAGTTCTATGGAAGAGCAAAAAGACCTGTAATCTAGGCTCCCCATCACTCTAATCAAAGACATTTCATAACTTAAAGAAAATCAAATGCCTGAGCAAACGTAGTGGGTTCCACTTTCATAGAGGAGGCATAGAACACAAACATCTCAGGCTGTAAGGCCTGCTGCTAAGAAATCTACATAAAATTCAAGCCTGTTGCACACAGGAAAACAAAGCTTGCTTTTTTTTTTTTTTCTATTGCACTTTAAGTATGTTACCTGGTTTCTTTCAAGTCTGGGGCACTTCTGAAATATTAAAAGGAAAAGATAATAATTAGGCACCATTCAAGTACCACCAAGAAGAAAATGAAGGGTGTGAACATTTAAAAATTGGTCAGTAAACTGGTTGCCTCAAAACCATTTTGATCCCCATATTCAAGACCAGAAGTAAACAGTATCCATGTCCAGATAACGAAATATAATAGCTAAGCTGCTTAGGCATCAAAGAGGCCTGCACATCATAAATCATTAAACTGTAACCTAAACAAGTACATATTACAGAGTTGAGTTCACAGGGGAAAAAATGAATAATGCTTTCACCTTCGCAAAAGTTCAGGTCTCATGGAAATAATTTCCTCAGCTGGGCACTGTGGCTCATGCTTGTAATCCCAACACTTTTGGAGGCTGAGGTGGGAGTTCAAGACTAGCCTGGGAAGCATAGTTAAATTCTGTCAACTACAAAAAATTTTAAAATACATCCAGGTGTGTTGGCACATGCCTGTAGTCCCGTTACTTGAGAGGCTCAGGCCAGAGGATCATTTGGAGTATATGCCATTGCACTCCAGCGTGGGCAACAGAGCTAGACCTTGTCTGAAACGACAACAACAAAAAAAGAATTTCTTTCCTGCTGTTACTGTTATGCATCTGTGAATATGATCAAGACCTGCTGATTGTAGTTCTTAATTTAAGGTTAATATGAATGGAAAGACTCTGAACACCTCTCCTTCATATTGCCCTCATAACAACTAAAGCATGTTTCCAGTCAGAATTACATTTCACCATGCATTGCCATTTATTGTTTTGCTCAGGACAATAACATCCAAGTCTAGAGAAAGTGAAGATGCCTAGCATGTTGCAACCAAACTTCATCACATAGGAGAGGAACCCAGAAGCAAGCAAGCAAGAAAATGGTTTCTTTTAGAAAAAAAAAAATTCCTTAGGACTTTACTGTCACCATTTCTGAAAGAAAAAGGTAGAGTTAGTGGGCAAGTTAAAGTATTTGTTTTCTAAGCAGTTGAGAAGAAAAACACTGGTCAAAAGCAAAACCAGCACAGTCTTTATTTTGTTCACATGAAGTGCCCTTGTGACTTCAGTCTTTTATACGCTGCCCAACTGTTAGGTCTATGACTTCCACAATTTCTGCAGATGAATTTTCCAAAAGCATATGTGTCAGTAATTATAAATCTTGGAGTCTATCTGATTCTCTATAGTTGGAATCTATCTCCTTGATGTATGGGTTAATTCAGCTTCCTAAAGAAATAATGAGTGAAATTTCTATGGAGTAACCAGCTGGAAGTTTTTAAACCTGCCTACACTTATCACAAATTTGCCAAAAAAGTCTCACCTTTCAGCTTTTGATACAATGTGTAAAATCCCATGCACAGCAACAGGAAATCCCAAAGAAACAAAAATATTTTAATTAAATAATGTAATAGAGCTATCTTTTAAAAATGCCATCCTTAATACTTCTTCTATAGCTATCTTTTCTATACCTATCAACAGTCTAAAAGTTTAAAACATAAAATATGCCCATTATTAATGTTGACCCTATTTGTAGTGAGAAGGTATAATTGCTTCAGATTTTGTGACAATATCCTGCCTATACCTTATAGCCCTATTTAATTTAAATTGATTTATATATATTTATATAGCGTATACAGGAAGATATGGTACATGCTTTCTTGGAGTCTGAGGAGAAAGAGAAAAGTAAGAATTTTTCTCCAATATCTTCTTTTAAAAGACTGAGAGTAAAATTACCCCAAAATCTTATTGGTGACCATGAAGAGAAATTCAATGAGTTTATTTCATCCAAACACCAAGAGCTAAAAATATATTTTTAAAATATACCAAGAGATTCAAACATATGATTTGTTGTTTGTTTGTTTTTGTTTTTTGAGATGAGTCTCGCTCTGTCACCCAGGCTGGAGTCCACTGGTGTAATCTCCATTCACTGCAGCCTCCGCCTCCCAGTTTCAAGTGATTCTCCTTCCTCAGCCACCTGAGTATCTGGAATTATAGTTGTCCACCACCCCACCTAGCTAATTTTTGTATTTTTAGTAGAGATAGGGTTTCACCATGTTGGCCAGGCTGGTCTCGAACTACTGACCTCAGGTGATCCACCTGCCTCAGCCTCCCAAAGTCCTGGGATTACAGGTGTGAACCTCCACGTCCAGCCCCAACATATGCTTTTGTTGCAGGACTTTTCCTCAGTTTAGCTAAAGACAGAGTTACTGTCCATCCTACGGCCACAAAAGGCCACGAAAATTTAGGCTCCAAGATGGTTTAAAGCATGAGTAAAACAGGGTTTTATTGAGTGAGAAGGGGAAAAATGGGGGAAACAGGGATCCTCTGCAAGGCCAGGGTCCCCTGCTAGAGTGCTTGCTGTACTGCCATTTGAATACCAGGAAGAGGTGGGGCCGTCTCCTCCCCTCTGCAAAGGGCACGAACCCAAGGCTCCATCTCAGTGGGCAGGCTGATTGGAGTTTCTCCAGGGACCTCCTCCCACCTGTCTGCCTCGCTTTTATACTAAAGTTCATAGAGCATTATTCACAAAAGCCCAAAAATAGAAACAACACATGTTCATGGACAGATAAATGGATTTTTAAAATATGGTGTATAATACAATGAAATATTATTCAGTTATTAAAAAAAGAATGAAGTTATAATACATGCTACAACATGGATAAACTTTGAAACATTATGTTAAATGAAATAAGCCATACACAAAAGGACAAATATTATATAATTTCACTTATCTCAATAAAAAAATTTAAGGAGATGGAAAGTATAACAGAATTTACTAGGGGCTGGGCTGGGAAGGGGAGAATGGAAAGTTATTATTTAATGGGTATAGCGTCTGTGTTTGGGATGATGAAAACTGTTCAGGAAATGGACAGAGGTAATGACTGCACAACATTGTGAATGTACTTAATGCCACTGAATGGTACACTAAAAATGGTTGAAATGGTTTGCAAAGCACTTCTAATAAAATATGGCTAGTATTTCCAAGATGGAAAAAATCATATTCTAGTCTCAAGCATCTGAAAAGATAGCCATTGCTCAACAAAATAATTTTACATATACTTTTCTGCTTATGATGCAGCATAAATATTTTCTAGTTGCTGGGCCACACAGTTCACATTATTTCCTCATTCTTTGGACACGCAGGAGCAGACTTGTACATTTCTGGAAACTGTCAATAACACTTTTTGCCACTTTTCACCATTAAGTGTTATCTCTGAATCATGTGTTTGCTAAATCGTGTAGACTCTTCTGTTTTTTTCATGGTTACTATAGAAACTGCAGTCACAATGTTTTGAGGAGAATAGCAGGAAATTTAAGAGTGTACAATAAAAATTAACTTATTTCATGGTTGAAAATTTCTTCCAGCTGTCTCCATTTGTGATGATTATCGTGTTCACATTGGGAGTATAAACATACAACCAAAAGGGCTCCAGTGACTATGGCCAATAAACCATCTCACCCCTAACACACTTCCCTCCCAACCTCTTTTCCTCAAAGATTTGTAATAGGAACATATGAAAAACTGGTATGTAAGGTTCAGGTGTTTTCAATTATTTCTCTTGTATGAACAGAGGTTTCCTGAACCCAAAACATGTTTCAGCACAAAGGGTTTTCCTTATTTTTGAAGATGGCGTCATCTTAGGAAAATTTCATCTACATTTCTCGGATTCACCGATGCTTCCTTAATAAAGCATCTCCTTTGAGCTCTTCTACACAATTATTTCCTCCATGAGTGGCCAAAAGTGTGGTACATTTAACTATTTCTTTTGTGAAGTGTGCTCTAAGAAAGTATATAACCTTTGCCCTTGCAATAAAGAGATAAATGAATGCTCAGCACTGGGATTTGTAATAGATTCCTTGTCAGTTACATCACCACAGAACATTCCAGCGCAATGCCTGCACTATCTTCCTGCTCAGGGACTGTCACCCTCTCTCTAGTATGGCATAGGTGAGGGCAGAGAGACTCATCTCTGATGGTATAAATAATTAACTGTCTAAATGTTGACAGTCATGCAAGACTATTCAAGGATTATAAAGGAAGAATGTGTTTTTGCAGCATTATATTTTCCTAAGTTTCTGTGAATAAAAGCTAAAAGATTGATTTTTAGGTTTCAGCAGCCTTAGATAGCAATGGGCTTTATCTTATGGTGTCAGAAATTTGCCACTTCATCATTGCCCTCTGCAAGTTAGCAGCAGCACTCTATTTATAAATATCTTGCAGGAATTGTGAGCATTACTTCATTAACATTTTAATGAGCATCATTAATAATATTCATTTTAGGGAAACAAATTCATCTACAAATGAACTAGATGAATACAATGAAAAATAAATCCAAAACTTTACCTCCTGCTTTATACCCCAAAATAGGTAAACATTTTAATGTATCTTGCCTAAATACACACACACACACACACACACACACACACACACACACACACACACATTTACTTTATGATTTTGGCAGGATATAGTAAAATATGAAATGGTAAACACTAGTCCTATGATAACGTTTTTGATTAATTGAAGAGCTTTGAAGAGAAATCCAAATTTTCAGATAAGTATCAGGGCTAGAGTTCTTTTAGAGGGTAAACTTTTGCTATTCTTGGCCCTTACTTCAGTGTCTAAATAGAGGAGACATTAACATTTAACCAATCCGAGTAAGTTTTACATTCAAAATAACAATACAACTCTGCAGCAGTTGTTGTTCAAAGGGTACGAGGTTTCAGTTAAACAGGATGAATAAGTTCTGGAAATCCATTGTACAGCCTGGTGACTGTTCATAATAATGTATACTTGAAAGTTGCTAAAAGAGTAGAGCTTACACGTTTTTGCCATAAAACAAATGTTAAGTATGTAAGCATAAATGTTATTTTTATTGAATTAATCATTTCATCCAATATATACATACCTCAAAATACCATGTTGTACACTGTAAATATATACTATCTTTGTCAATCCTGTCTTAATAATGCTGGGGAAAAAACTAATACAACTTTGTCCTTAGACAATATAGATGGTTACTACTCAATTATCTATCTTTATGAGAGTACTGACTTAAAATATACCTATAAAAATTTATTCATAATCATATTATTTGGAATACATTATGGAGACAAACTAGAGACAAGTAAAAATTTTGTTTTATTTTTGAAGTTTTGCTTTCCTAAAATTTTACTTTTCTTAGGCTAATCATAGTTTCAGTATATTCAATGTCATGAGATTACCAGCCTGTTATTTAAATTTAACAGCAATATTAAAAAATGTGAAACTTTTGGAATTATTTGAGAAGAGCATTAGGCTGTCCTAAATAAGTTATGTATGTGTCTGGATTGTGGTCCTGAAAATTAGGGAGAAAGCTTCCCTAAATAAGAAGTCAATATGATTACGAAGTGACCAAATTTTACCTTAATATCAACACATTACAAAGGTCAGTAATAAAACTCTTCTCTACCTTCTGTCTGCATAGCACGTTGTATTTTATATTAGTCAGTGAATAGAGTTCAGACAGAAGGAGCAACACAGTCACCAGGAGCATAACTACCACAAGAAATGTTTTTCAAGTTTATGTCTCATTCCTTCTACTATGTAGAAAACAGTTTGAATTGTAAGAAGCCTCCTGGATAGGTTGGAGTGGGGAAGGAATCCACTTCCAAGACACCCCATTCACATGGTTGTCAAAGTGGTCCTGACAGCACATTCCTATCCACATCGTCCTCACCTTAAGGCAGCTCGGGCTTCCTCACGCCTGGTCCCTAGGTTCCAAGGGTGTGTGGCCGAAGAAACAGAAAGTGGGAGCTGCCCATTTCTTAGGGTATGGATGCAGAAACCAACAGCATCACTCAGACATGTTCTATTACTCAAGCAGTTACAGAGCCC